TGTTTCTGTCCATTTAATTCACAGAGATGCCCATTGACATGCACTAATGACATAATGCATCAACTAATGCATTCTATTCACCATAGGTTTGCTGTACATCAGTTGTGGGGTGAGGTGTCAGGGTATAAGTAAGTATGAGACCTGTAGCCAAAATTGTGAAGTAGTTGGAATTCACCTAACACTCAGGTAATTGGCTGTCTTGTATTATGTTAACATTCCTTCTGTCACAGACTCTATTCCCACCAAAACCTATCTCATCCAAAGATCAGTTACCTTCAAGTGCAAATGACTGGTGGCAACTTAAACAATTATCCTCTGAGAGGAGTATGCATTTTGATGGGTATTGAAATCTTAATATAAAAAATTTAATCTTCTTCGGTAGGATTTGAATTGAGAGCAAGTTGTAGTTATCCAAGGCCCAGGATGCCTTCCCAGCCTCTGTAATAAGACCACTATTTCTTGGCCTACATTTTTGGCAGCCCCACTCTGAAGTATTAAAATTTTTTTTACTAAATATTCTATTCCATTGCCGCTTACGGTGAAATGTGTATAGGTAAAGCTACATTTTCAATAACTTGTGTTAGAAATAAAGGAGTTCCTTATGAACAGCTCAGTGAGTATTTCAAGATGTATCTTCTTCTTCCTCTTTCTTTCCTTCCTGTTCCCTCCCCTTCCAGGTCCTTCCCTTCCCTCCTCTTCAGGAGTCAAAACAGCCCAGCACAGGATATTACAGCCCAAGCTGAGTGAGAAGGGTATCCATGCAATGTGAGGATGAGAGGCTGGAGATGGTGATGGGATACTGGTTACATACAGAACTGGCCAGATAAATAAAGTGTTAAGGACAATGGAAATCTGGTTTCTTACTTTTGGAAAAGAGAATTACAGATATGGAAACAGGATGGGGCACCTAGAGGGCTCAGTCAGTTAAGCAGCTGACTCTTGGTTTCAGCTCAGGTTGTGATCTCAGGCTCTTGAGATCAAGCCCCACATCATTCCCTGAGCTCAGCAAAGGGTCTGCTTGAGGATTCTCTCCTTCCACCTCTCCCCCCAACTCGTGCTTTCCCTCTCTCTCCCTAAAATAAATAAATAAATCTTTTTAAAAAATATACAGAAACGAAGAACTAGAATGAACCCTGAAGTGTTGTATTGAAATTGGACATATGAGTGTGATATTGATAAATATAGAAATATAGGTGTTGAACCTGTATATACACACTATGTTTGTGTATGTGTGTGTGTACACATTCCCAACTTCTGTCCATGTAGAGGATCTAGGAGTAGTAACACTCCAGCAGAAATGAAATCATCTAGTATCCAGACTGGTTTTCTCAATACTATTCTCCACTAAAAGAAGCTAGGATTTCTTAAAGAAATGGTAGATCTCAAGCCTGGGGAAGGGAAAGACTGAGATGAGCCAGGAACATCAAACTGCTGTCAGAAAGTTAGGAAACAGGGACATGTCAAAAGGACACCGAAGTCATCCTGAAAGTGCTCCTACTGACCAAATCAAGAAAAAATTGTGAATAAGAATTGATAAATGAGGTATTAGTGATAATAGCAATAATGGTAGTAACAGATTATAGCCCACTGAATAAATTAGGAATTGCTAAATCCATGCTAGAAATAAATTAATTAAAGATTTAATGAGGAACTGGGTATTTACATAGTCTCATTGCAAATCCTCACACAAATATTTGTTAATTTACAAAGGCTAATGGAGTAATTTTGCAATGGAGAAGCTTAGCAGACACTCTCTTAATCAAGGGATGAGAGTGAATATTCTCTATAAGAGGAAAAATCAAAATTGGTTGCTTAATACGATGGAATGAGAAGAGCTCAGCATCCAGTATTGCTTTTGTGATATTCCTGCCAATGGTATATAACCTGACTCTAATCACAAGGAAACCTTGAACAAACCCATATTGGGGAGGGGGGGAACGTTCTATAAAATAATTGGCTTATAATCTTCAAAAATGTTAAGGTAATGGAAACCAAAAGACTAAAGGATGGTGCCCAACTGAAGGAAACATGACAGCATGAACAAGCTACTCTCAAATGGATTAGGTGGTAATAATAATGCATGTTAATCTTATGATACAGCAGTTGCACTGCTAAGTATTTAATCTTATGGTTTTTTTTTTTGTTTTGTTTTGCTTTGTTTTTTCTTCAAGTTTTTATTTCAATTGCCGTTTGTTAACCTACAGAGTAATATTGGTTTCAAGTGTAGGATTTAGTGATTCATCACTTACATACAACACCCAGTGCTCATCAACCATTTAACACACTTAATCCCCACCAGCCATTTAACACACACCCCCTACCTTCCTCCCTTCCAGCAACCCTCAGTTTGTTCTCTATAGTTAAGAATCTGTTTTATGGTTTGCCTCTCTTTTTTTTCCCCCTTATGTTCATCTGTTTTGTTCTTAAACTCCACATGAGTAAAATCATATGGTATTTTTCTTTCTCTGGCTGATTTCCCTTAGCATAATACTCTCTAGCTCCATCATGTTATAGCAAATGGCAAGATTTCATTCTTTTTGATGGCTGAGTAATAGTTCATTGTGTATATATACCACATATTTTTTAACCATTCATCAGTCAGTGGACATTTGAGCTCTTTCCATATTGACTATTTTAGATAATGCTATAAATATCAGGGTGCACATATCCTTTTGAATTAGTATTTTTGTATCCTTTGGATAAATACTTAGCAGTGCAACTGCTGTATCATAAGGTAATTCTATTTTTAACTTTTTAAGGAACTTCCATACCATTTTCCAGAGTGGCTGCACCAGTTTGCACTTCCACCAACAGTGTAAGAGAGTTTTGCTTTCTCCATGTCCTTGCTAACACCTCTTGTTTCCTGTGTTGTTAATTTCAGCCATTCTGACTAGTGTGAAATGATATCTCATTGTGGTTTTGATTTGTATTTCCCTGATGATGAGTGATGCTGTGCATTTTTTTCATGTGTCTGTTGGCCATCTGGATGTCTTCTTTGGAAAAACATCTATTCATGTGTTCTGCCTATTTCTTTACTGTCCTTGTTTGTTTTGGGGGTGTTGAGTTTGATAAATTCTTTACAGATTTTGGATACTAACTCTTTATCAGACATCATTTTCAGATATCTTCTCCCATTCCATAGGTGGTCTTTCAGTTTTGTTGGTTGTTTTCTTTGTTGTGCAGAAGTGTTTTCTCTTGATTTTGTGTCAACAGTTCATTTTTGCTTTTGTTTCCCTAGCCTCAGGAGATGTGTCTAGTATGAAGTTGTTATAGCCCAGGTCAAAGAAGTTACTGCCTATGTTCTCCTCCAAGATTTTGATGCTTTCCTGTCTCACATTTAGGTCTTTCATCCATTCTGAATTTATTTTGGAGTATGATGTAAAAATGTGGTCCAGTTTCGTTCTGCATATTGCTGTCCAGTTTTCCAAACAGCATTTATTGAAGAGACTGTCCTTTTCCCATCGGATATTTTTCTTGCTTTGTCAAAGATTAGATGACCACATAGTTGTGGGTTTGTTTCTGGGTTTTATATTCTGTTCCTTTTATCTGTTTATGTGTAAGTACCATACTGTCTTGATCACTAGAGCTTTATGATACAATTTGAAGTCTGCAACCATGATGCCTTCAGCTTTGTTTTTCTCTTTCAAGATTTCTTTGTCTATTCAAGGTCTTTCATGGTTCCATACAGATGCTAGGGTTATTTGTTCTAGTTCTGTGAAGAATGCTGGTGGGATTTCAGTAAATGTGTAGATTGTTTTGGGTAGTATAGGTGTTTTAACAATATTTGTTCTTCCAATCTGTTAGCATGGAATGTTTTTCCATTTCTTTGCATCATTTTCAATTTCTTCCATAAGTATTTTATAGTTTTAGGAGTATAGATCTTCTAAGCTTATTCCTAGTAATAATATAATAGCCAAATAATAATAGCTTATTCCTAGCTATCTTATGGTTCTTGGTGTGATTGTAAATGGCATCAATTTCTTGATTTCTCTTTCTGCTCGTTCATCACTGGTGTATAAAAATGCAAAGGATTTCTGTACATTGATCTTGTTTCCTGTGACTTTAATGAATTTGTGTATTAGCTCTAGGAATTTTTTGGTGGAGTCTTTTGGGTTTTCTACATAGACTATCGTGTCATCTGCAAATAGTGAAAGTTTAACTTCTTCCTTGATGATGTGGATGCCTTTTATTTCTTATGTTTGTTTTAGCTATATTGTAGTTGTGTAGGAAAATGTCCTCAATCGTAGAAAATATATACTAAAGTTTGTGCGATGATAGAGCAAAAGCAGTTGGTGACTTACTCTCAAGTAATTCAGAAATAAATGTACTGTGTTTGCATTTTTTCTGTGAGTTTGAGATTATTTTCTACATAAAAAAGTGTAAAAATATAATCTCATTCTGTGTCTTGTATATATGGGCCCCTGATACAGTTCAAAGTTTGTCTCATTTTCTTTATTGTGATTGAATCCAACTTAAATTAAAATACAAAATGTTTAATGAACATAAATCCAATACATGTGTGGGAAACAAAAGAGATCTATACTAGTATTTATACTCTTCAATCTTTTTAAGAGATAACAACTGCAGCATATACTTAGATCTTTCGCCCCTATGAGATAGATAAATTAACAGTCTTCAAGAGAATCAGTGCTGTGTAGACATTTCTAGTCTACTAAAGTCCAATTTGTAGCACAGACCGATGCAATACTGTAGCAGAAACCATAAATTACAAAGTAATAACTCTCACACAAAGTAATTACAATCCTCATTACACTACCCTTCCAAAAGAACAATGTACTTTCTCTGAGGAAACAGACTTCTTTCTCCCACCAGGATAGTTCAACATGCCTTCCCAAACTAAAGAAACACCCTTCCATTCAACACTGGTATTTTTAAAACCATTAAAACATCTGGTTACACAAGTAGATTTAATAATTATACCTTTCAGAAGAAAGCATTTTTAAGAGATAAATTTATTTTACTTGCATTTAAAAAAAGCATTTTTAAGAGATAAATTTATTTATTTTACTGATAGTGCATTTAATTACAAGCAGAAAGATAATCACCGAAGATATCAAATATCAAATAAAAACATTTTAAAACATTCAGTTCATTAAATAATTACTAGATGGCCATCTCCTGCAAGACTTAAGCTAGATGCTGTGAGAGAAAACAAAAACGACCAAGGTATCAGCATTAGACTTCAGGAGCTTATCTTCTGCAACTGAGTACAGCATTATTACACAATTTACTGATACTCAGCTATCCTATCAAGAAGACTATGGCAGAATAATTTGAATTATCAAAATCTACATCCAGAGGAGGAATAGTGTCTGAAACAAATTAACAAAAATCAAGGAAACTCGGCTAAACTTCTCTCAGATGACAGACGTGTACCGTATGTTCAAGTCTTATATGTGGTTAATAGTGTCACGGCACTTTCACCAGCAAGAGCAAAAGGACATTCACCACCCCCTTCACCAAAAACAAACAGAAATACACTAGGGACTATAGGTTAAAATGAATTACCAAGAGCCAACTTACAAAATTACTTTTGAGATTAAGGGACGTGCATAAAAGGGGAGATGGGCTTTGCCATGGAAATGGGTTGGAGGGTTTATGGATGGATTGTATGTTTATATGAGACCCAAGTAAATATTTTCCACCACTTGGCAGAACAGTGACCTACACAGGATTGATCCCTGTTCTGTTGACAAAACACAGGGAAAAAGTAAGCAACCTATCCATCAGGCCCTTGGGCTTCTCCACTTGCCTGGTACCTTCCAATCTGTTAGTTTTAAACCAATGCATCTAGTCAATTATTAACCTGTTTATCATTAACATTACTGCATGAATGTGATATAGGGCACAATTCATTAAAGTTTATACAGTCACTGATATCCTGAGGGATTCCCAACAAAACTGGATGGGTTAATTTTGAGCTATGGAGTAGACCCAGTGAGGATTATATCCCACCCCCAACCACGCTCATATTGTTCATCTAATTAAAGGTACCGTGCAATGGGGATCAACAACGTAATCAGAAAAAAAATTCATTTTAAAAGGAAATATCATCAACTTTTTATGAATTGTAATGATACCAAGACATTAAGCAGGCTCACTCGTGTAGAAAAAGATATCACAATCTTATCATTCTGGAGAAGATTTTAATTTTTTGACCAAACATTACTGAGAGATATGGCCGATTCAAACTCTAGGGCAAGGGAATATTTTTAATGGACTCAGAGGTTTTGCAACGCCTGCCATGTTTTCACGCAGGTTGAAGTAGATGCATGTCGTCGATCTCAACACACATCAAACAATGTTTACTGTTTGAATACCCATGAGTGCAAATATGAGATGGATGAGTTAAGTTAGCTTGATTACAGCGATCTGATCTTCCTTGTGGTGTTGAAGCTCAGAGCAAAATGGTACCCGTTAATCAGAATTCTAGGAAAGAGCTGTTAGGAGGGATTTTTGTGTTTTGTCTTCTCTTCACGGACCTGTTCGGGGTGGTCAGCTGGTGACAATTTTTAATGGAAAGAGGCTCTTACTTTTCGGCCCTTCAGAGGCTGTGGTGGGCGGTGATTGCTCAACAAAAAAGCCGCTGCCTCGCCCTCCGCCGTGCAGAGGAGAGTGCGGAATGTGGCCAGCTGTTGAAGAAAAGAACAGTGTTGGCTTCGGCACAGAAGGTCACACCCAGGTTGGTGAACTGCCCTCCACTGAAAGTTATGAAACATATAACCTTTCCTCTACCAGGAACTAAAATATATTACAGTAAAACTGTTCTAAATTATGAGTCATATATATAAGAAAACACCACTTCTGCTAAGTTCTCACCACTATACAAATACCTGTGGGTTCAAAAAATTAAGTACATAAGCACTCTTCATCTGAGGATAGAAGTAATATGAGGAAACAGTTAGAATGTGGTTCAAAGAGGACATGTCTAGGATTCAGAGAATGTCACCTACAAAGGCAAAACAGGACCATGGAAAGGTCACTGTACTGGCTTCCAGAAATAGGTCCCAGTCCCTGGTCTGGCATGACCAGTTGGGTGACCTTGGGTGCTGGTCTTCAGTTACCTCATCAATAAAGTGAAGCATTGGATTATATGTTCTCAATAGGTAATATTGGAATCATACCAAACACGTACTAGTACTCTAGTACCACAGAACCTCAATTTTCATGGCAACCTTGTGGTGTTCATCCTATAGAATATTGAGCTTTTAAGTACTGTTTTCCTTAAGCAATGATTTTGCTCTCACCATACTTGAGCCTTGAACAGCTAACTATGGTAAACGCTTGGATTGTTCAACCTCTGATAATGTTTAAATGCAATTCCAGTGATACAGGCATATTTCTCATCAAAAGGGCTTAAATTTTCTTATTACAAAAAAAATGCTGACTTGTCTTACAAACTCCATACAACACACAAAGTATCAAGAAGAAAATAGAAATTACTAGTAATCACATCACAAGATATAATCACAGTTAACATTATGGAGTATACCCTTCCAGATGTTTTTATATACACAAACACGTGAATGCACATACAATTTTTATTATAAAAATGGCTCAACTATCATGCTCTTTTGAAACCTTATTTTTTTACTTAATAGATATCCTATATATCTTTGTATGTCAATAAACATAAATCTACACTACTATTTTTTTAAAGATTTTATTTATTTGTTTGACAGAGAGAGAGAGATCACAAGTAGGCAGAGAGGCAGGCAGAGAGAGAGGAGGAAGCAGGCTCCCCACTGAGCAGAGAGCCCGACGTGGGGCTCGATCCCAGGATCCTGAGATCATGACCCGAACCGAAGGCAGAGGCTCAACCCACTGAGCCACCCAGGTGCCCCTACACTACTATTTTTAATTGCTGAAGTTTTCTACTCTAAGCATGTTATATAAATTATTTAACAATTCCTTGGTGAGTTAATACTATTTATCAAGATTTAGCACCGGTCTATAGTAGTAAAATGAAGACTGGGTAAACTAGCTGAATAATTCTACTTTCCTGAAAATGTTCACCAAAAATGCATTACCAATTAACTCAACTACGTTTCTGATGTTTCTTTTCCTATTTCGCTTGAGCAAAGACAAATTATTAAATTATTGAGAATAAAAGTCCTGCATTGGGCTCCCAGCTCAGTAAGGAGCTTCTCCCTCTGCCTGCCGCTTCCCCTGCTTCTGCTCTTTCTCCAACAACAACAACAAAAAAATCTTAAAAAAAAAGTCTCCATTCTCTAATCTGTGCTAGTCATTTAATTGCAGAATCAAGCAAATTCACACTAAGATAGGGATATCTGGGTGGCTCAGTTGGTTAAGCATCTGCTTTCACCTCAGGTCATGATCCCAGGGTCCTGGGATCAAGTCCCGCATCAGGCTCCTGCTCACTGGGGAGTCTGCTTCTCCCTCTACCCCTCCCCTGCTTGTGATCTCTCTCTCTCTCATGTAAATAAATAAATCTTTTTTAAAAATTCACACTAGGACACATCTATTACATTTCCATCATCACCATTTAGTTGAAGCCTAAAATATTTCTTGTACAGTACTAGCCAGGAGGGGAGGCAGAGGTGATGGAGGTCCTCCATAACTAGCAGGCAACGGTCTGTCAGCACACTCCACAGAGACAGGTTCATGCATCATATACAAGCAGCCATGTCTTTCCACAGGTGATACTTTGAGGGGTATAGATGGGCAAGATAAGACAAATATTTACAACCTACTATTATTCATATTTCATTAGACTGGATTATAGCTAGAGCCAGATGAGACTTGAATAATTCTCTGGGAGAGCCAAGCAGTGGAGGTAAATAAAATCTAACCTGTAGAGCCACAGGGAAAACACTCAGCCTTCTGCAGATCATGGGGATCAGGTCTGTCCAGAATGGCCTCTCCCGATGGCTGTGCAGGAATCCCAAGGCCTGAATCAGGGCACCAGCTTGCTGACCTCAGCAAGAACAGCTCACCTCCCAGTGACACTGCCCATTCCTCTGAAGAGGTTGTCTTTTGTTTTGTTTTGTTTTGTCTTTCAGATTTTATTTATTGGGGCACCTGGGTGGCTCAGTGGGTTAAGCCTCTGCCTTCGGCTCAGGTCATGATCCCGGGGGTCCTGGGATCAAGCCCCGCATCGGGCTCTCTGCTCAGCAGGGAGCCTGCTTCCCTTCCCCTCCCCTTTCCTTTTCTCTCTGCTTATTTTGAATCTCTCTTTGTAAAATAAATAAAAAAAAATCTTAAAAAAAAAAGATTTTATTTATTTATTTGAGAAAGAGAAAGGGAGAGCAGGGGTAGGGGCAGGGGAGAGAGAGAGAGAAGGAGCAGGGAAAGGGGCAGGGATTCCCAGGACCCCAGGACTGTGACCTGAGCCAAAGGCAGATGCTTAACTAACTGAGCCACCCAGGCGCCCCTCCCACCCTCCTTTGAGTCCTCTGCAAGTTGCTCATGGCTCCCTACCTCTGTAACACCTTAACCTCACTGGAATTTCTCTAGTTCTTTCTCTGACCTGTCTGTACATTTTGGTGAGATTCATTGAGCCTCTCCTGATGTCTCACCAAACTCCTTCCCTTTCTGGCTCTGGATCTCCCTCCCAATCACTCAGTCCGGCTACGTAGTGCTGCGTCTGCCAGTCCCTGCTCAGATCTGCTTCTCTTGGCTCTGGCGTCCTCCACCACCGCACTAACCTCCAACTGCACACCGCAGGCTGGCCCTTACCAGTCTCGCTGCTCTCTGGGCCCCTGGGCTCCTTGCAGACAGAAAAATCTGCCACTCTGTCACGAGGGCTGATATCATCTATACGAGTCCTGGCAGGAGTCTCCCCAGATGAGCCTGAAGGCTGAGGAGGGTGTGATCTGTTTTGCTGGTTTTCTTGGCTCTAATACTGAAATTTTAACGTCCTTATAGAGCAACCCCAGTAAGCAGAAATACCTTTTCTAATGTTTTGTAAATCGCTTTGCTTATGTCACCCTAGAGCTTAAAAGTCTAATAGTTCTCCACTCCCTCCCAAAGCTGGATAATAAAAGTAAAATCTCCCTTACAGAACATGGTGGGCCAGGTATGGCACCAAGTCCCCTCACACACACCTCGTATCCCCATTTTAAAGATGAAGCACCTGAGGGACAGCTAAGAAGTTTCAGTAAAGAAGCCATCCGGCAAATAAGTCTTACACTAACCACAGCACTACATTGCATCTCTATCTTTTATTTCTATTTTCCCCTAATCTCTTTTCATTAACTCTTTATTATGGAAACTTTCAGACACACATAAAGCTAGAAAGAGCAGCTGCGTAAGCCACCACACACTCAGCACCCAGCTTCGCCCGTCATTAACACACAAGCACCTTCACTGCATCCACACTCTCCCTCTCTTCCCGCCTCCCCTCAGGCCCACACTGGATTACTTTGAAACAAATCCTGAATATCATGTCCTTTCAGGTGTAAACACTTCAAAATCAATCTCTAAAATAGGTAACATGTCTAACTCTAATAAGGCTTCCCAAACAAACTAGTTAGCCTGGCTTCTGGAACCACCGGGGGCCGACTAACTAGATTGTCTCCGATTACAACCACACCCGGGGCCTACTCGGAGCCAGTTTTGCGAAGGGTGGTCCCAGAGTACCTGAATGAAGAGACTTTGGGGAGATTCTTAAAACTTCAAGTTACTGATCCTCACCTCCAGACGTTCTGTGTGAGAATTTCTGATAACGCCCAAGGATTCACATTTTTGACAAGCTTCCCCAGGTGACTGTTGCATACACTGAAGTCTGAGAACCTTAGGTACAAAGGCGCCCACATTTTCTGCACCTCCTTTTCTTGCCTTTAGTTATGGTATCCTTTCTTGAAACTGCTCCTTTTCCTTTACTACCTCCAACCAGTCACCACCCTTTTCCTAGCCCAGATATCAGCTCTTTCAAGAAGTCTTTTCCTGATTTCTCCAATAAAATAGTCTCCCCACCGTTGAACTCCCTTTACACCTTATTTCTCTTACATATCAAGCACAGCTACTGTGTTACTGTTTTTTACCCATTTATTTTATTTTGTCTATTAGATTATAAACTACTTGAGGACAAGGGACATTTTTAACACTTCTTTGTATCTTTTGCATTATGCTTTGCAAGAGTTAGCAATTATTAAATAATTCTAGAATTGACTTGCACTCTCCTATAATTTAGAACTTTAATTTCAAAGCTAATTATACAGTTTTTAAAAATATAAGTCAAAATTAATGTTCAAGTGAATGAATTCTTTCCCCATTTCCCATTTAGTCTAAAGATGCAGAAGTTAAGAAGAGCATTCCTAGATCACTATCATTAATTACATAATATGGCATTTTACTATTTTAATTTTTTTTTAATTTATTTGACAGAGATCACAAGTAGGCAGAGAGGCGGGCAGAGAGAGAGGGAAGGAAGCAGGCTCCCTGCTGAGCGGAGAGCCCGATGCGGGGCTCGATCCCAGGACTCTGGGATCATGACCTGAGCCGAAGGCAGAGGCTTTAACCCACTGAGCCACCCAGGCGCCCCGGCATTTTACTATTTTAAAAGGACATTAGGTGTTGCTTCCAGATCTGTTGGACTAAGATCCTACAGACAACCTCCTTGTAGAAAACTCTAAAACCCAGACGTAAATACAAAAAAGCGACAAGTCAC